CCTCTCCTCCTCCCCCCATTCGTTCCTCTCCTCCCCCCCTTCGCTCCTCTCTCCCCCCCTTCGTTCCTCTCTCTCTCCCCCTCTCCCCCCCCCATTCGTTCCTCTCTCTAACCCCCCCTCTTCTCCTCTCTCTCCCCCCCTTCCTCTCTCTCTCTCCCCCCCTTCGTTCCTCTCTCTCTCCCCCCCTTCTCTCTCCTCTCTCTCTCTCCCCTCCGGTACACAGCACCGTCAGACGTAGTGTGGAGTTGCATTAGGTAACGCGAGATACGGCTGATACTTGCGCATTAGTTTCTGTCATGGATCAGTATCAACAGTCCTGCCAGTAACGTTTCTATATGATCAATACTACTTTAGTTATAGCCTGATATATGATAGCTAACTTTACAATGTTGTGATGTGACCGACGTTAGCTAACATGAACTGTAGCTAACGCCGGTCACTCACCAAGACAGCTGCCCTGTTCTCCACTGGTTCTCCTCACACCACAGCTCCATTTCTCTCCGATGGCCGTTATTCCTTCTAATCCTTGGCTGCTCCTGGGGCCTGTACTACGAAGCCGGATTTTCCTAACCTGGATATGTTGGAGTTAGCCGGTTGGCCCAATCCAAAACATACGCGCTCTCGCTAAGCTGTACTACGACGCTGGTTATCAAGTGGATCGCTCAAGCCAGCCGTGTCCTATCTAGTTAGGTGCGCGTTCACATGAAAGGGGTGGTATTTGGAGCATTCGACCAATCTCAAACATGGACAAGTGTACTGACAGCGCAGCGTCATACTTCCTGAATGAAAAGTGAACTTTAATATTAGACAATTATGAAGACGTTAAACTTTAAACATCCATGACTTAAACACTTTATCCAGGATAAAAGCCACAAAGCTGCACCTGCAAGGTGAATGCAGCTGGTAAAAGAAAAAGCGTTTGAATGCGTACATTAACAGGTTTATGATATCACTGCCCCGTCTAAGACACGAGTGGATCTGACTTTAATTAGGAGAATTTGACTCGAGTGTTTCGTCAACTTAATGTGTTGCTTAAAATAATACTTCTGCATACAGTATGTGACACTGTGAGTGTTGCACGGCCAGATACGGCTCAAGAAGCTGACTCAAATAAGGAAATATATGATACATTATGATGTGATATGATATGAATGATAATGGGACACATCGCCGTCTGCACTCACAGTGCCGCGGACTGTACTTAATGTTACTCTGATCCGGTTACTTATGTTGTGGCAGATATTTAAGTAAGCTTTCTTAACGCTAATGTTATAATAGTCAGATTGCTCTGAAGATGGGAGGGGATATTCTATTCATTTCACGTTCACACAGTCAGTTGATTTTTGCCGGCCGTCTTTCCTGCAACGGCAGTTTTTCTGTATTTCCTCTATCCTGTTATATGACTTGATAGCTTTAAACTCCGCACACGAAGCTCTGATTGGTCAGCAGGCGGTGCTTTCACTGAGTTGATCTCTTAGCCTGCAACCAAACCTCCTCCCGAGGAGGTTAGCCGCTCAGCATAAGTTACCATGGAGATCTAGCCCGCTAAAAAGAGAACCAGCGTCGTAGGACCGGAAAGCCTGAGTTTTCCCTGAAGTCAGCCGGCTAAGCGACAATCCGGCTTCGTAGTACAGGCCTCTGGTCTCTTGGACGCCTAGCAGGCTCATAATTATAAGGTTGTGGTCCGTCATATGCATTCGAATATACATTTCAACCTCTTCTGTGTCAAAAGTAGCATTGTGATCCATGTTTATTAATACGTTAGACCGGCCGCTCTCCCTCATGTGACGTCACACGCGGGTGGTCTTCTTTTATGCGGAAGTAAAAATGTCTTACAGAAACCACGCCAGATGTCACTGTAGTGTTTATTTATGTATATTGTTTTGAAAATCTAGTGTATACATCATTTTCCTACACATTTATTCACTGGGGTCTCTAACCTGCAAGTTGCTCTTTAAGGAAAAATCAAACTGCATAATTCACTCTGAACCTCCTAAAAACCTCAAATTCATCTTATATTCTCCATCATGTGTTTTAAATAAATGACATTATAAACACATGAATACAATAATTAAATATTTTTATTAAAACTATCAAACACTGACAAATATGTTCAGTTTTAGCTGTTTCTCACATTTGTATGAAGCTACATGATGCTCATACTGACTGAGGAGTTTAAACTGAAGATGATTTTGGATGTATGGCTCCACTATTTCTGAAATAAATATTCTCTGTCTATTTTTTATCACATTTCTTCTAAATTCATCCCGACATATTTGTCATATTTGTAAAGTGTGTGATCTTGAGTTGAATCAGTTTCAGTGGGTTTGTATTAGTCTGGCTGCACATCATGAGTTAGTGTAGATGGAGCAGAGGTTCAGATGTGAAGTCTCCACTTTTTATTGAAGGTGAAGCACGTTGTCTTTCATATTAATGAGAGCTCTTTTCTCTTTCTGGATCTTACAGTTTTTAACCTGTCAGGATGTCCACTTTATAAACTCCTACATTCTTACTTCTCCAGCTATAAACAGATTATTGAACCTTGAATATTTTAAGCTGAAACTTTGTTTTTCTAAACTTACATCATGTTTTCTTTATTCAGTCTGGAGGGCTGCAGTTTGTCAGAGATCAGCTGTTCTGCTCTGATCTCAGCTCTGAAGTCCAACCCATCACATCTGAAGATCTCTGAACCTGAGTCTCAACGCTCTGCAGAATTCAGGAGTGGAGCTGCTGAGAGATCTTCTGGAGAGTCCAGACTGCAGACTGGAGGATCTCAGGTCAGTTCTCCATCTTTAACTTCTGTGCTGAGATGAATATGTGAGAGTTGTGTTGACTCTGAGCTGCAGACATCAGGCTGATATGATCCTGATCCTCACGGAGTATCTTGATGCTAAAGTCTGTTTTCTTCTTCTGTGGTTTCTTTCCCTGACAGTGGCAGAGCAATGTTCAGCTTTAAATGTAAACATTACAATAAGAATTATACTCTGCATAATTCACACTGAACCTCCATCAAGCTTCATTTTACTACATTATATAAAAGACAAAGGAGTACAATTAATAAGTATTTCCAATCAAACACAAAACATATATTCAGTATTTGCTTCTTCCAACATTTTTATGAAGCTAAAAGATGCTTATACTGACTGAATAGTTTAAACTACCATGTGATCATGTGTTCTTTATTCAGACTGAGGCGCTGCAGGTTGTCAGAGATCAGCTGTTCTGCTCTGGCCTCAGCTCTGAAGTCCAACCCCTCCTACCTGAGAGATCTGGACCTGAGAGAGAACAAGCTGCAGGATTCAGGAGTGGAGCTGCTGAGAGATCTTCTGGAGAGTCCAGACTGCAGACTGGAGACTCTCAGGTCAGTAAGGGGTCGACTCTCTGCTGGTTCAGCAGTATTGTATTAAACACAGGGAGGTGGAGGTGTTCCTCTCACTGGGGAATCTCTCCAGTCCACCTTCCAGGCGTAGCCTAGCTTAGCACAACAAATCATGGATGTTACCATTTGTCTGCAGTTTCTCCTTTTGTTCATCTTGTGTTTCTTTACTTTCATTATTCAAGCAATATAATACAAGCTGACAATGCAACGCCACATTTCAGTCAGGAGCAACTCATTAACAGACAAATGGGATGTTACAGTTAAAAAGGAAGTCTGTTTGTTTTTCTATGTTCCTGGACTAATGCCTAGTGAATTCTCTAATGCAGCTGAGAGCTGTGCGCAGTCAGTCGTAGTGTTTGCAGAGAAGATATGATGTGATGTAAAGCATTGGATCAGTCAGGACTCTGAAGCTGACTAACTCAAAGAACAAACTATTATTTTAACTTGATCTCAAACTGTTGGATTGTGTTCATCCCTGCAGGATCAATGACGAGCCAATCAGAGCCAAGATACAGAAGAACTGTGAGTACTGAACCATACCCTCCATTCATCAAGATATTGTACAATACATCTGATCTTAAAAGGTATTTATAGTACAATAATTATTATAGTTTTATTATTATTGTTCTCTGTCACCTCTTCTCTCCATCAGGTGACTCCGATGTGGAACAGGAAGTGAAGACAGACAGAAAGGTGAGAGAGGAGCAGTTGAGAGTTGAAGCTAGAACTTAACTTGATTTCTAATAAAATAAATAACTTTGTTTGTTCCAGGCTCCTGAATCCTTCTCACCTGAACACACAACTGAGTCTTCATACAGGTAATCCTATAACATGACCAAATATTATTTTAAACACATTGAAAATATATATTATTTAATTGTGTTTAATTTCAAGTCTTTCACCTTGAGGTACTGCATCCAATCTCTTTCCAGCAGACATCAATAAGATAATGCCTCTGTGTGTAGGATTGTTTTCTTGTACCAGTCTAGATCCTCGCTGGACTAGACATTTTGTTAATTTAATGAAAATGTGTTTACACACATTCTGATGCATGTGGACACATCTTCAGTGATGCTCCTGTAATCATCAGGTGTTTCAGATCTTTCAACAAACCCTCCTCCAGGTCAGACTCCAGCTGGATGAACACCTGTCAGTCAGAACACAGGCCAGTGAAGGCTTGTTGTAGTAACTTGTCTCTTGTGTGTCTACAGGTTCAGGTGTCCTGGTCCAGGTATGTTCCAGTGTGCTTCGACTGGCCTGGTGTTCGTCATGGCTCAGAAGGCGGAGCTTCTGTACAGGGCGGCCACTTGGGATGAGAGCCTCCTCCAATCAGCTGGCAAGCAGGCAGCAGGGCCGCTGTTCGACGTGAAGAGTTCTGATGAAGCTGCCGTCTGCCAGCTCCACCTGCCACACAGCGAGACAGAGGATGGTAAAGACATCTGCAGTGTTAACAAATACACTTATATAATGTTTAGCACCTTATACCATCCACTACTGTTCAAAAGTTAACTAGTTTAACAAAGACAATAAGACTGTTAACCACCAGAACTGTTGAAGCAAAATCTGTTAAACACACCTGAACAGTTGAAACAACATCCCTAATATTCATCTGGCTGCTACTTAAACACATATTTAAAAATTATTTATCTATTTACCTATATCCTATTTCAATAACTTGCATATAGACTCTTATTGCACTATTTCACTATTTCACTTTTTTAAACTATTTCTTTTTGTATTAGTATTTACTATTTACTTGCACTATATTTTTCTGTGTATCTGTGTTTTGTGTTGCTCTGTTGGAGAAGCCTGTGACACAAGATTTTCATCGGCACAACTGCACTGTAGCTATGTACGTATGACTAAATAAAGAACCTTGAACCTTGAACCTTGATATAGATAATTCAGACACCAAATCTGTTCTTTACATTCAAAATAGTTGTGTCCCCAAAAGAAGAGAATGAAATGATTAAAACATCCATTTAGTGGATGTGTTTCATGACATCATTATTGAAGCATACGATGCAATGCAGCTCTAAATACTGAGTTGGATTTTCTTTGGGTCCTCTGCAGTCTCCTCACTGGATATTAAAGACATTTAAACTGTGACCTGTCAGTCCACAGCATGTTTAGCTGCTAACAGTGCTAACTCAACGCTAACTCTCACTCTCAGCTAGCAGTTTGATTAATTATGACTTTGTTATCCATCTCTTGCTCTTTCTGCTCTTTACATTGTCAGTCTGGCTGAAGCATGTACAAAACAAAACGACAGACAACAACATTTATAAGTTAGACTTTCTACGCCCTAAAAGCTTTAGAGAACTCTTCACACATCTAGAGAATCACTCAGACATGAGACCGGACACAGTCAAGCTGCTCTGGCTGCAGATTACAAACATTTCAGCAGTCTTGTGAATGAGAAATAATTACGCACGCTCACATCCAGAAAGATCACAGGGGGACGGAACAATAATTAAACATTACAAATAAAAGGTGAAGGATAAACTGGTACATCCCAGTGAGGCTCCAAGTGAATGACATTAGATGAACATTAGCTCTGAGCTAAAGTGGTGTGACATTGAAGATGATGAAGCTGTGTTAGCAGCAATGCAACAGATGACCAGCTCTTTGCTCCACAGCGCTGCTCCTGGACGGCCTGTTGTCTGTCGTCCACATCACTGATGAAGGCCTGAGCATCTTGGAGCCGCTGGAGGTCACACACACTCACGTGGTGGTGAAGGTGCTTCACCTCTCTCCTTTGGCCTTATCATCGATAAATTGAGAAGGCTTCTAAAGTGGCGAATAAAGGGAAAATTCTGCTGTTCCTACGACCCCCGGGCCGAGTGGAACAAATACTGGATGTGTTTCTGCTGCAGAACAACGTCCTTGAGGAGGAGGTAATGTGCTCACCATCAGCCTAAATGCTTGTTTTAAACCACAGCTGTTTCCACAGAGAAGTTGTGGCCCCAGGCTCCCTACTGAATAGAATAGAATTGGAGGGATGAAACCCTCTTTAAAGGTCACACATAAATGCACGGTGGGGGGTTGTCCAGTGCCTTGCTCAAGGGCACCACGGCAGGGCAGGAGGTGAACTGGGACCTCTCCAAGTAGCAGTCCACACTCCATTTTTAGGTCTGGTCGGGGACTTGAACCAGCGACCCTACAGCTCACAGTCCAATCCCCTACTTTTTTTTTATTTTTTTTTTTATCTTTTATTATCAAAAATAGACATTTAACAGTTCATCACAATTACATAAAGTACTTTCTGCATATAATGTATGAAACGCCATACAAAAAATGACATATACTGTCATTATTTCACTGAAAAGTAGTGTGTCTTTATGTCACTTTTCAAAGTTGAAGCACCAAAGCTCCCTCCTCATCCATCTCAATTAATTTGCTGCCATTTACAAAATCCTCACAAAATATGTCCTTTTTCACATGTATGAGAACAAGGTTTATGTCCCTTTTTGTTGTCCTCTTCATTATGTGCCACACGTCAGACATTTAACCCTCGAAATGGGCAATGTTCCTCCTTATCTGGACCGCACGCCTGGCGTGGCTCAGAACATAGGTTTAACAGATTCACATTGCATTCCTCCTTCTTCTCAATCACACCAAACAGCCACAGCTCCTTCCAATCCATTTCTCTCACATACCATTCATTCCAACATCTACCAATTAACTCTTTCATCCTTCCAAAAAAAACACCAAGCTCTCTACATTCAACAAACTCATGCAAAACATGTTTCAACCTGGTCTCTACAAACATCACCTCTCTCTCAACAGTTTCCTCAAAATGACTAATTATCAGATTGTTAAACACCCTATTATGTCTCAACAAAAAAAATCAAAATGTTCACATTCAATACTGTTCCATTTAATTTTCACATTCTCCCACATTCTTCTACCAGTCAGACCTTTCCCAACACTCGTCCATACTCTCTCTGATGCAGGTCTCCTAATAACATCCCCTTTTAAACCATTTATACATAATTTTTTGTTTTAACATCTTCTATTTTAACATTGACATCCTCTTTCCCCACATATAAATCAACACACTCTCCTTTCCTATAACGATCTCACTCTCAATCATTGTTAACCATTCACTCGGCATTCCATCTTTGATTTCTTCCATCATTCGTTCAGCTGTCCCTGGATACATCACTTCATCTATTTCCCTAACCTCATCCACTATCACCTGTGCCTTCATAAAGCCTGGTACATACTCTAAAACTAAGTCCTTAACCCTCCTCATCCCCGCTCTCCACATCGGCAGATTGAATAAGGAACACTGCTCATGAGTTGATCCTTGGGTTAAGGAAGATCGGCTGCTCCCACACCTGCTGCACATTCACACACTCATACCTAACACACTTCAAAAACTCACCCCATGCACTCATTACTTCCTTGATAAGCACTCAAACCTGTCAACATCCCCTTTCTTAGCACCATAAAAATAGCACTATCACCACATCCTCCACATTTATTTATTTGTTCCTTTAAGAATATTTTTCCATAACTGATCTTCCTTATTTCCCAAATAGCGAACCATCATTTTAATCCTAATTGCTTAATTTTCCTTCTTAAGTTTATCAGCTGTAAACCTCCATCCCTACACTCATTTTCTAGCACTTCTCTAGCTATCCTTACCCCACTCCCATCCCATATGAACTCACTAACTATCTTATCTATTTCATCACTACACTATCCGGCACATCTAAACCGTCATTATATAAAGTGCCCTACTCATGATTAACCCATTCACTACAGCTATCTTCCCCCTCAACTTAAAGCCCCCTCATCTTCCAAAACTCAACGTCTCACTATTCCATTAATTAACTCTACATACTGTCTGTCCCTACCCTCCACTACTTTAATCCCTAAATGTGATCCCACTCACACACCCTAAAATAGTCCTATTTTCCTTCAACCCTATATCACAACTCTCATCCCTCACCTGTCCTATGTACATAATCTCTGATTTATCTAAATTCACCCTAGCTCCTGCTGCACCCTACCATACAAACTGACTGTCTTCAACACTTCCCTTACCTACTTTCCCTATCTTTAACTGTATGGTGGTGTCGTCTGCATATACTTAAACTCAAACTAACACCCCCCCTCCTGGCACCCTCCACTCCCTTTTATAAACCTGTTTTGCAGCAGCAGAGTCGCGAGGGGCTCGGCTGACAGCGCGTACAGCATTGCTGAGAGAGGGCATCCTTGCCGGACCGACCTCCCTAACTTAAACCACATTGGTTACCTACCCCATTAATTTTAACGCAACTGACTGCACTACTATAAATCCTCCTTACCCACCCTATTAATCTTTTCCCAAATCCTGCCTTCTCTAACACTCTATACAAAAATCCATGACTAACCCTATCAAAAGCTTTATTTAAATCTAAACTAACTACTATCCCACCTATACCCTCCTTCATGTGACTAATTGTGTCCCTAATACTACTAATAGTGTCACAAATATCTCTCCCTGGAATACTATACGCCTGTGTGTTTCCCACTACTGATTTTATAACCCTCTTAATTCTATTCGCTAACACCCGTGCTAGCACTTTATAATCCGTGTTTAACATACTAAGTGGTCTATAGTTTTCTAATTTATTCCTATTCCTTTTTAAAACAATATACTAATAATCCCTGTAGATATACCGGCCGGCAATTCCTCCCTCTCCGCCAGGCTCCTGTACATTTTAAGGAGTATTGGCGCCAGCCCCTCCTTAAACTCTATATAGAACTCAGACGTCAGACCATCTATCCCTGGACTCTTATTCCTACCTAACCCTGCTCTTGCTAACTCTATCTCCCCTAGTCCTATCTCCCCCTCACACATTTCCCTACCTTCATCACTCAAACCTAGCTTCCATACTATCTATCACCTGTTCTAAGCTCTCCCTATCAATCTCCTCAGCCTCAAAATACTCCCTATAAAACTCTCAACTCTCTCAGCAATCCCTACAAAATCTGATATTATTTCTCCTCCTTTCCTTCAACCTGCTCTATATTATTCTTTCTCTTGCTTTACTTTCTCTAATGCCAAAAAAAAACCCTGTACTTTTCTCTCCTTCAAACCGCATACCTAGCCCTACTTCTAACTATAGCCCCTCTACATTTTCTCTTCTCTATCTCCCCCAGCTCATCCTTCAAACGACTATACTCATCCAGATCTCTCCCTATTTCATATCTACCCTTTGAGCCTCTAAATGTAAACTCTTCTCCTAACCTTTTTCTCTTTCTCTCTCTTTCTTATTTTATTCCTATTTGGGATCAAAATCCTATACTTATCCCTTTTATTTCATTTTTAATCCCCTCCCAACACACCCCCCACATCCTCACCATTCAAACCTCCCCTTTTTTCCATACATTTCTCTCACTTTAACTTTATATCCATCATCCTTCAGCCAGACAGGCATTTAGGCACCACACTCCTCCTCCTCTTCCTCTCATCACTGTTCCAATGTCAGAACCTACAAGATGTTATGATCACTCATGGCAGTCATTCCTATACTCAATCTGCCAATTTTCTCCCCTAAATTACTCCACACTAAATCTATTCTACTCTGTTTTAATATCCCTCCCACCACTTGATTCCTAGAAAAAACCCGCTCCCTACTGTTCCTTTCCCTCCACACATCCTGCAGCCCAATTTGTCCCCATTATTGTTTGAGAGCACCACGTGATGAATCACTATTAAAACCCATATTTAACAGAACATCCAGTTTCGAACACCACACATTAAAGTCACCAACAATCATACATTTTCCCCCACATTTACCCTCCAACCCTTCAAAAAACTCCCTCCTCCTTCTAACCTCATTCGGTGCATATACGTTAACTAATCTAAAAGTTTCCCCCAGTACACTCGAACAGTTATCCCAACCATTCTCCCAACACCATCATCCTCAACTTTCCTTAATTCGTTACCACCCCTGCTTTAATTATATTGCCACCCCTCTAGCACCCACACTCCCATTATTTACATACATTTCTCCCATCCACTCTTTCCTTACATCCTCCACACACCTCTCATCCCAATGTGTCTCCTGCAAGCATATAATGTCTGAGTCACAATTATTAAGGGCCTGCTCTCTCCGGTCCTTGGACCTCAGCCCATTTCCATTGAAGGAGGAAATTGTCACCATTACCAGTGTTATGAAAGTTTGTAATTGTATTCAATTCTATTCATTTTTTTTCCAGACCACTTTGTAGCTCCTCCTGACGTTTTCACCCGTCTTTTCTCCACCTCCTTATCCTTCTCTACTTTCCTCTTTGCATTTAGCCTGCTGGATTCTCTCCTTATTCCTCTGCTCTTTATCACAGCGTTTGTCTCTCCGAAGATCTTCCCCCCCAGAGGTCCCATCATCTCCACCTCTTCTCCATCAGACTCGTTCTCCTCGTAGTCTCCTCCCTCCTCCATGTCAGACACGACCGAACTGACCTCCATTTCCTCAGCAGTCTGTCCCCCGTCTCCACCATCACCTCCTCCATCTCCTGCTCCCTCTCCTCCTTTCCTCTCACCGACAGCTCCTCCTCCAGCATCAGGTTTAGCTTCCACATCCGCATCAGCATCCGCATCAGCATCCGCACCCGGATCAACATCCACATCAGCATCCGCCTCAGTATCCACCAAACCCTCACCACTCCTCGCAGCCTTTCCAGCATCCATAGCAGCAGGAACACCAGCAGCTGGAACAGCAGCAGCATTGGCTCCACTACTACACGCACCTCCGTAGTCTGCTTTCCCCTTCTTCCTCCCTCCGT